GCGCCGGCTAAATCCTTCTGAGGGTTACTCAGGAGGGTGCCCTCTATAATATATGTCAAGCCCAAGGTTATTGGAGGTGGGTTGTTAATCTAAATAATTACCGTAGGAAGATCACCAGTTAAGGGAGCGAAAGGGAAAGAAGAGAGGGGGGAGAAAATAGAGAGGGGAGGGAAACGGAGAGGATAAATGAAGAGATAAGGAAATGGAGGGAGGAGAAGAAAGAGATGAGAAGATGGATGGAGGAGATGATGAGCGAATGGAAAAAGGAAAAGGAGGAAATGAAGGAGAGAATTAAAAAGGTAAAGGAGGAATTGAAGGGGTATAAAGAGAAGGAGAAAAGAGAGATGGAGATAGAGAAAGGTGAGAGAAAGAAGGAGGAGGTAGGAGGGGGAGAGAAGAAAGACAGGAGGTGGGAGGATATAGGAGAGAGAGTAAGGAGAATGGAAATAGAGGGAGAGATGATGAAAAGAGAAGAGAAAAAGAAAAATATTATAATAAGGGGGGTAAAGGCCAAGAAAGAGGGATGGGAGGGATTAAGAGAGGAAGTGGAGGAGATAGTAAGAGAAACGGGAGCAGAGGCGAAAATAGAGGAAATAAAGAGAATAGGGAAGAGATATAAGGATGGAAAAGACATGGTGATGGTGAGATTCGAGAACGTGAGGGATAAAATACAGGTAATGAAAGGGAAGAGAAATCTGAGGGAGAGGAGCGAGTGGATAAAGGATGATCTCACGGAAAAGGAAAGAAGAGTAGAATGGTTAATAAGGGAGGAAGCGGAGGTGAAGAGAAGGGAAGGGTTAAAGGTGAGGGTGGGGTATATGAAGTTGTGGATAGAGGGAAAGTTATGGAGATGGGATGAAGAGAAGGATAAGCTGAAAATGGAGCAGGGAATAGGAGAGGAGGGAGGGAGGAAGAAAAAGGGTTTTTAAAAGGAGAAAGGTGGGGGGAGGAGGGAGATAGGAGAGGGAAGAGGAGGAGGGATAGGAAGGAGGGAGGCAGAGGTAATGGAAGAAGGGAGGATTATAAGGTAGGATTTTGGAATGTAGCGGGCCTGGAAAACAAGGATAAGGAGTTCTGGGAGG